AAGCTCAGCAGTCCTGCACCGCGGAGGGGGAATCCTGGCAGGGAGGGGCCCGCACTGCGGCTCTAGACCTTTAGGCTTCTTCTGGCCTCGGTGTGCCAAGTATGGAGGTGAGGGGCAACATGTGTGTGCACACAGCTGGGTGTGAGTATGCAGGTCCCTCAGGGGATCACACATGTGCACACACAACTGTCTATGTGTACCTGAGGGGTGTCATAGTAAGGGCACACCTGTGTGTGCCTGCATCAGTGAGTGTGTGCACGTGAATATACAAGTCTGCACTCTAGGTGTGTATGTGTGTGGACAGATCTGCATGTTTGGACAAGTGTATGTGAGCTGCGATGTGTAAAAAACACACAGGTCTGCATGCCTGGATGTGTATGAGCTGCGCTGTGTGTGTCCAGGCCCGTCTATCAACCCGCCTGGCTGTGTGTAGTCGTCAGTGTGTGTTGGCAGCCGGTGTACTCGTGGGTGTCCTGGCTGATGGTGTCTGGATCCCAGTAGGAATCACTGCTGATGGCAGCACATTCCTCTTTTTGGAGGCTGCCTGGCCGTGCAGGTGTCTCTGGGCCGCAGCCCCTGCCTCCTGCAGCTGGAGATGAAGGCCGGAGGGAGGGCAGGGTCTCCTCTCTACAGGTTATGACTCCTGGGGCTGTCCATCTCCCACTGGCCAGTGACTCACCTTGAGTACAGCCACTCCTGTTCAGGTTCCTCTGTGTCCCCCCAGCACCTGTGCATCCACGATCCGTTAGAGTGTCCAGCCCTGGGGTCTAGAGATTAATATATTGGTCCTTGGCTGAGCTGGGAGCTGAGCTCCTGGGCCCTTGTCTATCCGTCTGCTGTCCTGTCTTCCACCCAGAATGTCAACCTGATAAGGCTGTTTACTGAAGGAAGGTGGGTGTCAGGGTCAGAGGGCTTGGTTTGACAGGCCACAGGGAGGGGCTGGCAAAGCTGTTTAACGTCACTGCCACCACTGCCACCGTTGCGCCTGTTTGTTCCAGGCCTCTGGGTGCTGGTCTAAGAACCTCACACACAGGCCCTGAATGGGTAGCTCGGTTGGTTAGAGGGTCGTCCTGATGCGCCAAGGCTGCTGGTTCTATTCCAGGTCAGGGCGCATAGGAGAGTCAACCAATGAATGCGTAATTGTAACAGTGAATCAATCTCTCTCTCTCCTTCCCTCCTACCTCTCTCCCTCCCTCCTCTTTCTCTAAAATAAAATAGAAGACAGAAATTTAGAACTTCACACACAGGACCCCATGGGATCCTCCCACTGCCCCAGGAGGGAGGTCGTGCAGTTATAGCTCCCACCTTACAGATGATAAAACTGATGCTTGGAAATGTGTAGTGACTCCTTTGGGTACCACAGTTGGGAAGCAGCAGGGTGCTAGGGTCCTGCTGCATGGGCAGAGAGGAGGGACAGAAGAGGCCCAGGGAAGCATGGGTCTGGTTCAAACCCTCCTCTCTGTTGACAACTTCTGCCAAGCAGCTGAAGGGGGCCCCCATCTGCCCTCCCCCAGGCCTTGGGGTGGGGGTGGGGGTGGGGATATTACCCTCCTTACTCCAATGCTCAGTGGGCACTTGTTCCTTCTCCCTGCAAGGAACACGCTGGCCTGCGTGCGCCATGGACCCCCACATGCTCTAGACACACAGCACCTGCATAGACACACAGATGGGCCACATGCCACACCTGTCCCACAGTTGGACCTACCCCGCCCCTTCTCTGCCTGCTGGGTTCGAATCCTGCTTACAGCATCTTGTGTGGTACCTGAGTAGGTGCCTTGCCACAGGAACCCTTCAGGTCCAGCAGGAATGGGCCTGCGGTCATGATCTGGAGCTGACGAGCTGACGGAGGGCCTGGAGGCGGGCTTAGACTTCCATCCCCCACCACTGAGAAAGACAAATGAGCGCAGACACACCCAGACTGACACCCAGGGAGACAGCACTATCTCTCAAACCCAGACTGAGAGACAGACCCTGAAACATAGGTGCATGCCTGCACAGCTGCCTCACCCAGCTTCCCATCCCCTCCTGGAGAAGACCCTGGGCTGAGCCAAGGCCTTGGGACCACACTGAAGCCCTTGCAGCCAGGGCCCTAGTGTCAGGAGCCCCAGGAGAGGAGGGAGGGAGCTGCTGGAGCCTGGGGGTGGGGGGTGGAGCTGGCAGGCCTCTTGGTCCAGCCACCCACCCCTAGTAGGCCAGCCGCCTGCCCATGAGCCCTGCCAGCTTTGGGTGGTGCCACTGTCCATGTGCTGCCCAGAGAGCTGGCTGCTGACCCACTGCCACCTCCCTGTCCCAGGTGGTCCAGAGGATCAAGGCTGTGGAAGGGCAGACCCGGCTGCTGGTGGTAGACAAGGAGACAGACGAGGAGCTGCGCCGGCGGCAGCTGACCTGCACTGAGGAGATGGCCCAGCGAGGGCTTCCACCTGCCCATGACCCCTGGGAACCAAAGCTGGTCTGGACACGTGCAGGCAGCCTTGGCTCCAAGGATGGCCAGAAGGTATGGCAGATTCTACCCACAGGGACCACCTTGGCTTCTCCCACAACCATTTTGGCCTCTTGATGGTAGTCTCTGTTTCTGGCCACCTCCAGAAGTCATTATCTCAGTCTCTTCTGCCTCTTAGGGCCTTTCTTTGTCTCTGGTGACTACCCTCTTGGTTATACTCTTTCTGCCCTGAGACTGTTTTAAGCTGGGTAGGATGAGGGCAGCCTGGTCCTTGGCCCCCACCCCTCTCCCAGGTTGCTGGGAACTATCTGATCTAGGGAGGGACCACTCTGACAAGGCCCCCTCCCCAGCCTAGGTCTGAGGAACCTAAGCCAGGGAGAGGCTGCTCAGATGTCCTGGGACTGAGTGTGCCCAGCTCTGTGCCTGTGATAGGTGTTTATCTGTCTTTGGCCCTGTTCTTATGTCTGTCTTTAGGGATCTGCTTGTTCTGTGTAGGCCTTGGGGGACAAGGGCTGGCCCTCCTCTGTGGGCAGTGTATAGTTGGGAACCGAAGAGGAGACTCTCTTGAGTCCTCTCATCTGATGGTTTATAGGGTTGGAGCACCTCCAGCTCCTCCCTGCCCTTCCCCCCACCCCCAGGCTGGAAGAAGTGGAAAAGAATTCACCTCCTAGGTGTCTGGGCCTGGGGAGTGTCCC